ACCCTGGTTTTCCCATCTCCTTGTCTGAGACACTCGCCTCTTCCGACAGACCCTACACACAGCAGGCATCAGAGGAGCCAGGACCCAGCATGGGGTGATGGACCCCAGCTCCTCTCGCAAACCATCCACTCAATCTGAGTTATTGGAGCCGATGGCCAAGACGTTCATGGCACAGACAGTTAACATGCATGAAGGCTCTGCAAACATGTAGCGGAGAAGACATTACTGCACACGATGGAGGCATGGCCACCCATTTTTATGATCCTGTTTAACTTGGATTTGCCAGTCTCCCCGTTATCATCCCATGGGCCAGGCTTAATAATCAAGATGTTATGTGCTTTGTGGCATAATTAAAGCTGCTGCTTAATTAGAAAAGCTTCCTACCTCCAGACAAAGGGAGATCAATAATGCATCTAATGGGAGGAAGCAAGTGGGGACCTTGGTCTGGAGCAGACTGAATGGTCGGTTGGGGCAGGCACACCCGCACACACGTGCAAACACAGACGCGTACACACAGATTCACATGCACACCTGTGCTTCTAGGGGCTGCCCCTGTCAGAACCCAACACAAGGCCATTTCTCATTGGATGGGGCGGCTCCACGGCCGTTTAGAGAATCAATCTAAAAGCTTAAGATGGGCCTAGACTGAACATACATTTATGTGTGTCTTCAGCTAGTCATCCATTGATATTTGCTTAGGGCCTACTAAGCGCCAGTGTGGCTGTGAACGTGTGGCCGCAGGGAAGGCTCCCACAAACACCACTAGCATCACAAACCACAAGTCATCATTCCATAGTAGCCCATCCCGGCCTTCCTCCTGCGGGCTCCACAGCCACGTGACTACCTCCAACGAGGTCCCTATCATGGCAACTGTGACCTGATTTCCCATCACGGCTCCTGGAAGGCCTCAGTGGGTGGTTCTGGGCCTGGGACTGTGTGTGGGCCGTCGTCACAGGGGCTCCAGCAGCTGGCCCCTGGCCGGCATGTCTCTCTCCACATGCTCTCAGACCTGTCCGTGGGGTGCTCTGACCCGGCACACGTGGGCTTCCTCCCACCATGGCAGCTTCAGAACAGGCCAGTTGCTTACACGACAGCCAATGGGCCAGTGCCAGCTCTGGGCCGGGCAGGGTGGATGCCCTGGGAGCTCCTTTGCTTCTCTTCTCCCCTCCTCTACTGGATGACCAGCCACAAAAGCCCATGCGGTCCCAAGGGGAGGGACGGAGAGTCTACCCCTTGAGGCAGAGTCCGTGCCTGGTCTGCAGGCTGCACTCGGCAGCACACCCATCTCAAATATGCCCCAGGGCGACGGCCAGGCACCCCACCTGCAGATCGGCACTAGGGCGTGGGTCTCCCTAGGACTCGGGGTGCATGTTCAAAGTCAAGTTGACACGAGGGCTGTCACCACCTGGCTAAGCCCCAGGATGCCATCTGCCAGGGGCAGCAAGTCCAGAGAGGCCCAGGGGCCTGCAGGACAGCTATGGCTCGGAAGGGCTTCTTGCTGGTTCTAGTCTGTTATCCGTAAGCATGTGGGGTGCGGGGTCTGTGTGTGGCATAGTCTTCAAGGCCTCCCAGTTTCTTTGGGGAAAGAAATGGATATAAATAAACACGTCAGAAGACGAAACCCATGTTCTCCGTTTGGGGAGGCAAAAGCTCCCCAGAGCTGCGCCTCTTCTAGTCGGTTTCTGTAGATCAGGTTTCTATCAATCAAGACCTATTGTCAACGTCTGCCTTGATGTCTTCTCCTGTAACCTGAGGCTGACGGGGAACTGATGGCTCCTGTCAGGGTCTACTGTGGCTGAGGAGCCCTCCTCAAGAGGGAGCGTCTGCCATGCCAGGGAGGGAGGGAGGGTCGCAGTCCTCAGAGGGAGAGCCAGAGGAGGCCAGGCCCCTAGGCAAACCCCAGCACTTGGAGATGCCAGAGGAAAGTGCTCTGAGGGCTCGGTGTGCAGTGAGGACCAGAGGAGCTGGGAGAGCCCCCAGGAAGAAGGAGACACAACCCAAACTGCTTAAGCAGATTTAAAATACATGCACCTTGCGTGCGTGCGTGTGCGTGCGTGTGCGTGTGTGTGTGTGTGTACACCGACTGATGACGGAACCTAGAGGACTTTTCATTCATCTACTTTACTGCATATATAGCAGCTGGATCCAGGTGCTCCTACTACAGCACTGGAACCGGATTCCTCTCCCCCTCCCCCCCCCACTCCCCTCCACCCCCCCCACCCCACCCCCGGCTCTGCCACACCCTGCACTGGATTTGTCCTTGGGTTCCACAGCTGGGCTGTGGGAACTCCAAGCTTTCCCCTCATACAGGTAACATGGTGTAGCTCCCCAGGTTCCCATTACCGCAGTTTTACTTTGGCTTAACAGCCTGATTCCCCCCCCAACCCCCCCCCCCCCCCGCCGCCCCCGGACCTTGCGTACCTCTAAGACGCACTGATTGGACAGGCCCAGACCAAGTGACAGCTCTGAGCCAGTGGCTGTGGCTGGTGGACATGATGCCCTAATTGCCTTAATCCTGAGTCATGTGACCTGCCCTGCTCAGGACTGGGAAGCTTCCACGGGTTCCCATGTGGGAAGGGGAGCTGGCACCCAAAGAAAGAGAACCAGATTCCAGGAGGGAGACAACAGGCTCTATCACGCATTTTCATGTCTGTTCTATAAACGCGTGCTCTGCCACTGGAAGTGCATACGCAGCAGGACGGCCAGGAGAGGGGCTGGCATGGTTGGCCAGTGAGAGGACCAGTGCCCTTACCCCATGGGCTGGAGGTCATCACCTCCCCTATAACCACTGCTGTCAGATGAAGATGGAGACGCCAACAGGGACAGGCGACCTCTTACTGCTTCCAGTGCATCGCTGGTGGCTGGAAGTCCCCCTAGGCTCACAGTGACACAGTGTGGGAGGTGGGCACCTCTGTGCACAGGAAGGGGTTAACAAAGCACGTCTGGCTGGTCCACATCCTGCACAGGGAAGGTCTGGCCCTTGCCAGCTCCAGCTCCGGGGAGGTGACTTGTGAGTTCCCGGGACACCCTGCCTGACTAGAGTGTCGTTGGTTACCACTCAGGGTAGTCTATGCTGCCGCGTGGTTTATGCTGAGCCACGGGGTCAGCCCGAACTCTGGGGGCTGGAGACAAAGGTCAGTTGGCCAATAGAACCCTGGACAGCAGGGCTCGAGTGGGCACCCGTCATCCGTGTGGCCATTCACCCTTGCTGGGAGGGTTATGTACCATCTCCGTGACACCCCTGGGAGGGGCAGCTGGAAATTCCCACCCACTCTCCCTCTTGCCCCCTCAACCCCTGCCTTATGCTTTCTCCTCCGTGATGTTATTCTGTCCCTTAACAAACCACACTGGGAGTAACACAGTGTGCCCAGTGCTGTGAGTCCCTTCAGGGAGTTACTAAGCCTGGAGGAGGCCTAGGGGGTCTCTGCAAGGCACCACGGGGCCCAGAAGCCCAGAGCCAGGAATGGCACTCAGATCCAGCAGCTGAGTCGACCTCATTCAGGTCAATCTCCAAAGGTCAGGTACACCGGGGAGCGCTCAGAAACTGCCACGCACACTCATGCACGTGCACACACATGCACATGTGTTCACACTCACCCATGCTCACACACACACACACGCACACCCTTAGCGCACAAACTGGGCACATCCCAGACCTGAGCCTCTCAAGCCTGCATCCGTGACTTTGTCATACCTACACATCACCTGCATTATTCACTTAGTGTGTTTCTTCAAATTGGCCTGTATTATACCTAACCGTATTTTTCACTCAAAAAAAAAAAAAAGTCTTTATTCCGTACCACAAAAGGAAAGCCAGCATCATTTATGCTGAATTGATGGTACCCACGAAAATAAAACAGAGTTCTCACATGCGGCATGTGCTGAGGCCACAAGAGTGTGCGCTCCAGGTCTGCATGCAGAGAGGGGGATTGCTCTGGAAGGAATAGGAGACCAGTGTCCTCTCACCTGCAGCTCCGTGGTACCCAGGAGACAGGCCACACCCACTGTCTGTTCCCAAAGCACTAGGTGAAGGGAACCCCCAAGGCAGCCGGCGGGCTCACCCAGGAGACCACCCCAGGGCACCCCACCCCTCAGCACAGGGAGTCAGCAGTGAGTCCTACTGCCTGGCCTGGAGGGGCATCCCTGGAGGAGCTGTGCCACCACCTGCACTTGTGCACCCCCCGTGCCCGCACCCATGGTGCACCTGCTCAGGCTGTCTTCCCCCCCCCCCCCCGCTGCACTCCCACACTGCTCGGGCTCCCAGGCCCAGTCCCCACAGTCTCTAAAACAACTCTACTCTCCACATACCCCTGTCCTTGTGGTTTGCTCTAGGATCGCCCTCCCCCGTGCCCCCACCCCGCTTCCAGCCAGTACTGCCCTCCACCACTGAGAGCACCTGTGGTGGCAGGATGCAGGGTCCTTGCTGCCTGCTGTGTTTGTGCAGATGGAGCCACTGGGAGGAGTGCAGCCAGATCCTGGCCCAGCAAACTTGCCTTTCCTTTCCAGGGCCCAGGTGCCAGCCGGAGGGACTTTATTCGAGTAATCATGTCCGCTTGACATGGCATTTTGTTCAGATTTCATCCCCACCAAGGTACCTAATGAGCTTTCAAACAGGATGCAATGCTCACAGAGCAGGACTCGGTCCTAAGAGGCCACAGGGCAAGGCCACAGCCAGCGATAGATTGGGGATGGGAGGCACGGGGGTCTGTTTCCAGGCAGACAGCTTTAGATGGGGGCGTGGGGGCATGGGGGGAGGCAGGTCCTAGGGTCCCAGCGTGCTTCCCTGGGCTCCTCACGTTGAGTGGCGGCCAGGCACAGCCCAGTCTCCTGGATCGGCTCTTGCCGGGGTGGACAGGATTCCCATGAGCCACCGCAAGCATGGACACCAGAGGGCAGGGTGGTCTCAGGTGTGGCAGACACCTGTCTGTGTACCTGTCTGCGCTCCAGGAGCCCACAGCACATGGGCCATGGTGGTGCCTTCGGGGCCGGTGCATACTCACTTTTTTGGCCTGTAGTCCGGGATGGTCCTGTCCAGGGAGATGCGACCGCTGAGCTGTGCATTGTACCCGTATTCCTCGTACTTGCTCTCCGTCTCCAGGCTGTCCTCGCGCAGGGTGGCCGCCATGCCGCCCTGGCCCAGGCCCCCTGGTCCCTCCACCAGGCCGATGGGCTTGGCGAGGCCTGCAGGGGAAACGGGAAAGGACGACAGTCAGGCAGGCCTACCCAGCCTGCCCCCAGCCTCTGTGGGCAGCCACTTTCTTCCAGGCCCAACTCTAGGAATTCAAGGAAAGTCTATTAATTAAAATTTGTTTTCAATAAGTTATTTTTAAAAATGCAACATAGTTGCCCACGTGCTCACCGACCCTTGATGTTGTGGGAATTTCTGATGTCATGGCACACACAGTGGGACACTACCTGAAGTGGAGCCCCAGAGCCCCGACACAGAGGACATAGTGGTGCTGCAGGGTCCTGCCCCCAAGGGCAGAGAGGGACGGAGGTCACCTGGAGACCAGGCAGGAGAGGTGGCCTCTGCGGGGCGGGCAATGGGGCCACCAGGGATGTGGGCTGCCAGGGAGGGCCGGGCCTGGGGCTTTTTCTTCTGGAACATTCTTCCAAGTAGTCCTTTGTGACAGAGAAGAATGCAGCTTGGACAGAGGGAGTGGGCACCTGGGCAGGGTCACCGCGGGGACGGTACCCTGACTCTCTCTGAGACAGGGGACCCTGGGGCATGTTGGCTCTGGGCGGGGGTACCCCAGGGCACTGTAGTGCAAGCCGCAGAAAGGCGGGATGGGGCCCAGGAGGGGAACCGGAGGGCTGCCTGTAGTAGTGGGTGAGCTACCGCAGCCCAAGTGCCTGCCATCGGAGTCACAGCACAGGGCATGCAGGCAGGGCTCTTCTCTGTGCCACCCGCCCCCTCAGGGAATAAAAGCAGGAGGCCATTCACTGAGGGGTGCAAACCATGACCCTGCAGCAGCTGCCACCCTCCCCGCCCACACGTTCCCCCCCCCCCCCCCCCGCCAGGGCATCATCCCCAGAAGCCCCCTGGGCCCTCCAGCCTCTCAGAGCTGGTGTCTTGCCCCAGGTTCTGCAGGCACCTTCCCATTGCTTGCACTGCTGCCCGGCTTACAGCCCTGCGGGAGGGGAGCCCCGGGTGCCTGGACCTCAGAGCTTTCTGGAAGGTTCCATCTTGAACCCGCAGACCTATGTTGGTGTTTATGTCAGATCAGAGGATACGCATTGTGTGTAAAATTGAAAAGCGACATGATACATAAATCACTTCTGCTTCTTATTTCAATATAGCAAAAATATATCTAATCATGTTATTTTTAAATGTCTGTGCTATGCTGCATTTTCCACTTTGAAAAATCTGTAAATAGCTGTCTTTCAAAGGCAGATGTGTCCCCAAACCTGAGGGGACAGCAAGGTTGCTAATGATGGCCGGGGGCCCCCCCCAGGGGGCTCTGCTGCCCAGGGTAGGGGGTGTGTGTGTCCAGAGGGGGTTGGGGCCCTGGGGGTGGAGGACCCAGGGGGCAGGGGGGCGTCCTGGGACCAGACAGGTGGGTTCTGGAGGGGGTGGGGCCTGAGAGTGGGGGAGGCGGGGGGCTGAGGGCCTGGTGGGGGGACCCCGCAGGGGGATGGGTCAGGAAGGGGGAGACAGGGCTGGGCAGCAGGAGAGGGAGGGTCCCAGGCTGTGTGGGGTCAGGCCCTGAGAACCCACTGGGCTGCTCCACATCAATTTTTCGCTTGCCAAAGTGAGACACACTCATGTCAGAAATTCCAAACCCTGCAGAAATCTATGACAAGGAAGCGTTGGCGTGTCCTGTGCAAGCCCCGCTCTGCCAGGGCATCCCCCTCTGGTTGGAGCCAGTTCGCAGTGTCCCTGCACCCCCTGTCATTTCAGGGTCTGCCTCTGGCTCTGTGATGAGGGCGCTCCCCTGGCGAGTCCCCGGAGCCTGAGGCTTCTCTGGCCGGCCGCCCCCCCCCCACTCTTCCCAGTGTGTGTCTATTCCCAGGTTACCTTTGTGACCTCGGGAGGGACACTGGCTCTATTTCTGGAAGGGTCCCTTTAAACAGCCTCTGTGCACTCCCTAGCGGATTAAAGGAAAAGTCAGGATTCTACCGGGACTTTTGTCCAAGGGGCATGCGTGTCATTTAGACCTATATTTTGTTATACAGCCGTGGAAAGGTACACGCATTAGCTAGAGGTCTGCTGTACGATGTTGTGCCTTGTTAGCAACACTTAAAATTTCGTCACGAAGGTAGATGGCACGGTGTTCTCACAATAAAAAGTTCAAAAATAACATATTGAACTGCCCCCCGAAGGACAGGAATAGCTATGTCACCGCCTCTACATCGTCAAAGTCGCTTAGAACGGCCCGTTTTGCTCTACAAGCGCAACCCAGCTTCCCATAGCTGGTCTGGGGGTTGGCTCTAAAATGAGCAGCGAGCCCACCTTCACCAACCCCTGCACCTGGACAAGTCGCTGGCTGTGGGGTGACCGTTGGGGAGCCGCGGAAGCCTCGCAGCCCAGCCTGACCGCACTCACACCCCTCCATGGAATGTCAAGGCAGCCTCACTTGCTCTTCTAGACACTATTAACTTCCCAAAATTACATGCACTTTGGTTGGCTCTAGGCTCGGATCTTGACCTTCTGTACACTTTCGGGGTAAAGAGGTAAGGGTGATAAGTAACAATATTCAGGGAGCTCAGGCTTTAGACACAGGAGCACAGCCAGCAGTCCCCATTTCCCCGGGCCCCAGATAAGAGCCGTTTGCTTGGAGGAGCCAGCCCATTCCAAGGGGAAGGATGGCAGGAAGCCTGTGACACAGGACAGTGCACGACGCCAGCATTCCCCCAAATCCGTGAAATTTGCCCAAGGGTGTTTCCTCGTTTTGGGTGCTTTTACAGAAAGTGAAAGACAGATGTCCTCGTCAGGAGGGAGCCCCCTAAATACGGCTGTGGGGTGAGGCACCAGAGGACAAGACCCTGGGAGACCCAAGTGTTCCCAGGGCTCCACTGGCGTTGGTGGACCCTGGGAGCCAGAGGCTGAGGACTGGGCTGACACCTGGTCCCGATGGAGCCTTGCAGCTGGTCCTGAGTGCCCAGGGGCCAGGCCTTAACCCCAGACTGCAGGTTTGTGGGAGATGGAGTCACAGGGCCCCTCATCAGCTCTTAGAGACGTTCCATAGATTCTCCTTGGTGGTAATCGTGCTATAAAGTCCCCGAGTGTAGGATCAGGGAACACATGGGGTTGGGTTCCTGTGAGGCCCCAGTCCCACATTTTCACCAACTCCCCAGTATGTAACCTGGTTAACACCGCCTCGCTGAACACGTTCTGCCGACCTGTTAGCCCACAGCATGTAGCTCAGGAGCCACGGGAACTCTCGTGGCACCAGCGGTTCTCCCCATCCCCCAACCCTGAGTCCTTCCACTGCAGGCCTGGGGCGGTCAACACAGCGAAATCACCCACAAAAGCACGACCACGTGAAAAAGAGGTGTGGACGGACCTTGAACGGAACACCTGCTCACAGTGGGAATGCTGAGGCCCGGCCACACCTCGTCCACCCCAGGCCAGTCTCCGACTTCCTGCTGCACCGCCTGCACCCTTCAACCACCCCAAAGACCAGCAAGTGCTGATTTGGGTACAAAGAAACCCAGTAAGCAGGCAGATGGGCCAATGCAGAATCCCTGACCTGAATGAAGGATAGCAACCGTGGAACGTGGGCAGTGTCTGGGCTCAGCAGCCGCACCCCTAGGACCCCACACCTGGGCCTTGGAGACAGGGCTCCATAGAGGAACAGCATCCCACAGATGGCAGTTCTCAAATTCGGGCCAGCATCCTGAGGCCTGGTTGGAACAGGCTTTAGGGGCCCACATGCAACATCAGGTTCACAGGTACTGGGTAGATGGAATGCTGGTGTCCCCAGGAAGTTTCCAGGGGTGCTGATGCTGCCTGGGGGACCCCACCTTGGCATGGAGCAGGGGCTCTGGGCTTTCTGTGGGCGCCAGCCCTGTGCTGCCCGTCCCCGCAGGGCCTTTGTTTGGAACCCACCTCTGGTCCCAGGTAAGGTTCTGGGCTGACCACTTCTGGGCCTTGCCCTGTGCCCTCTGACCCTGCCCACCTGGTGTTCCCTGACCCCTGACCTCTGAGCAGCTGCAGCGGCCCTGAGAGGCTGGCCCTGGCCAGAACTGCAGGGGGAGTGGTCAGAGCCATCAGCTCTATTACAGCTCCACCAATTAAAAACCCATGGACCTGATTTAGTTTTTACCGGGTCATGCACATCAGTGCTTTCCTATGGGGCTTCTAGGACTCATTGTCCCTCTTCCCACTGTTGGTTCATGTTCTCTCACATAGAGTTCCTTCTAAAGAGGCAGGATTGCTTGATCCCTGGGTAATGAGGGCAAATGGAACCAGAAGAAACTTAGAAAGATTGAAGGTGGCCTGGCCGTTCCTGGGCGTCCAAGGCCTGAGCTCCATGGAACCCATGCCAAGGCCCCTGGGGTCGACGCCGACACCCACAGAACTGGCTTCTTGCCCTCATATGTCCTGAAGTCCTGGCTTCTCCAGCGGGGCCTGGTGCCAGGGTGCAGGTGTGGCATGGTGTCTCTGTTCCTGCCGCTGCCCTCAGGGGCTCATCCCATCAGTCAGGCCACCAAACAGGAGATAGGCAGGCTCTGTAGCCTTGTGCATGGAACCGTGGTTAGCTCTGCTCTTGGCCCTGGGGACCTGTGGGGGGTGGCCTTATTTGGAAATGGGGTCTCTGCAGAGGTAATTTCGTAAAGACATCCTGAATTGGGGTGAGTCCTAACCCCATGATTGGGGTCCGTTTAGGAAGAGACAGATGCACACAAGAGAAGATGGCCATGTGACAGCCCAGAGACTTGGCCACAAGCCTGGGAACAGGCAGGGATGGAGGCACCGGAAGCTGGATGAGGCCAGAAGCAGCCCCCCACACCGCCCCTCGCCTACCCCGGCCTCTAGAGGGAAGAGGTCATGCCACACTGGGTGTCAGGCCTCCAGACTGTGAAAGAATGAATGTCTGTTGTTTGGGCATTGAAGCATGAGCTTTGTCAGGGCAGCCCTGAGACACCAGGAGGCAGGCCCACTGCCACACGGCCACTCAGACCTGCAGCCAGCAGATTCTGACCACTGGACACACAGATGGGGGACGTCCCTCGGA